TCATGAATGATCACCAAGTATGAGCATTTCTCTTACCTCTTTCCTCCGTTCCTTTTTTCTTTCTGTCTTCCCTCTTTTTCCTCCTTTTTTCAAGCAAACGGGACCAGGCGTAAGGCCCTTAAGCCCCCCCCCCCCCCCCCNGAGATGCACCTACAGCCCATTCACTCGGAGAAATTCAAAAAAGATCCCAATTTACCCTTTTTGGGTGCAATTTGGGAGTATCAATAAGTATCTGGCATCACGGCACTTTAGGTACTGGAATTACACTAAAAAAATATTTAATTTCAGTCAAAAAGATGAGCTTCTATATTACGAAAATAATTTCAGTCTCAATAGACTTCCAGCCAGGATCGGACTGGCTCGCATCTGAGGGCGTAGACCCTTGGCTGGTTAAAGGGGCGTATTGTGATACTTCCTGGTAGGGCATTCCCTACGTGGAGAGGGGTTCAGAAAATTTTGGCAAATCAGCACAAGTTTACGCTATTTTCAGGTTCAAAGTTTATTGATCGCACGGAGTAAAAATTGCAACATTGAGCGTGAAGCACAGCATTGAGAGCTCACGCTTCGCGTCATCGCGCCTTCAATTTTTCAGATGCAGCACGGACGTCCATCAAGTACGAATAGTTGTATCTCTGCGCCGTCGTAAACACGCATCCTTTCCTTCCGTCTTCTTTCATATTGTGTTTGTTTCCGTTTGTCTTATTCGTAATGGTGCTTCAAGCACCACGTGAGTAATACAGCCGAAGGTAGGAGAGATGTCTTCAGGCCTTTTTAGCGGCTCTGGTGTTTGCACTAGAGCTGCTATTCCGGACGGTCCCAGCTGGGGAGTATCAACGGACCATGTTACATTGGATCTTTTTCCTGTGAGCGAATGCTATGTTGTGTAGTGTATTTTTGGAATCACGGTGATACTGTCAATAATTCAAAACGGGTCTGTGCTTTAATCTCGCACTGGGAAAAATGTACTTTACGTTTAAAATTTTAAAATTCAAATCTATAAGTTTTCGCGCTTTTTTCGAAGAATGCCGTGGTTGGAGCTTCCTAGTCATACTACTCGACATCAGCTGATAGCAAACAAAGGTTACCAAGGAAACCGTAAACGCGTAACAACTACCTACCGTCGCCAGAGCCGCTTTCCGACGCGAATGCGTTGGAGCTTCCTGCTTGTTTTAACTTTTCTCCCGAATCAGAGCGACGCTTCATTGACAGCATAAAGCAGAGGATTGAGAGCTCACGGTTCGCGTCATCGCGCCTTCAATTTTTCAGATGCAGTGCGGACGTCCATCAAGTACGAATAGTTGTATCTCTGCGCCGTCGTTAACACGCATCCTTTCCCTCGCATTATTTCCATATTGTGTTTGTTTGCGTTTGTCTTAATTATAATGTTGCTTCAAACTAGAGCAGAACATTGCGAGTTCACGACTCATGGCATCGCGTCTTACATTTTTCATATGCAATGTGGACATCCGTCTTGCGCGAATAGTTGTATCGCGTTTACATTTTAGATGTCTCTTATTTTTTAATTTCGAGATAAATTAAGGTTAAGTTTACCCGAGCTATGCTGTGGTATGTCCAAATCAATAGTCATTTGAAAAGGAGGAAATATGTTTAAAGGTCTCTTAAGAGGTCTATAAAGAATGTGTATGTCTAAAAATCGAACCGACCATTGCTTCTAAGGGAGTTACACATAGCGAATGAAAGAGGGGGATGATAAAGCGCCTGTATGTCAAGAAGAAGGTGACAATTTCACAGAAAATTGTTTACGCTTCAGAAAGTAGTTCTCGGATCTCTGTTCAGTACTATCATGCGTTAAATCACCTTTCTTCACTCCTGACTCTCTCTTCTTCCGTTCATTTAAGAAGTTTTTCTGACATATTCTCGGTCGTAATTTTTTTTCTTTTTATTTTGCCATTTGTAAGAGAGACGCGTTTTCGGCGCGCAAAGGGGGCGTATTTGCCAATGGCAGATTGGCCTTATGGCCAGTCCGAACCTGCTTCCAGCCAGCTTGCCTCGTCTAGAATCGGTATTTTTGATGCCATTAAAGCGCTGAAAAGCAGTGTTGCCAACTCTCGAGAATCGCCACTGTCCTGTGCTGCCGTGCTAAGGAAGAACGCCGTATGAGCCTTCAGAAGTTGCCAAGTTTCCTCCAATAAAAACCGAATTTACTGGGGAAATTGCGAATATTATTTTCTAAAATTTTCAGACAATTTTGTACGCAATTTAATCTAAAACATTTGAACATTTCGAGGAAAAATATGCATAAATGTTGTCAGAAATATATCGACGGTGAAAGTCGGCAATCACATAACTCGTTTGCGGTGTCTGAAAATCTCCGCCTCTACGTCATTTTTTTAAAGGAGAACAAATTGATATTATTTCTTGAAGTTTTTGCAGAATTGTCTTCGCATTGAGAAGAAAAATCACGACAGTTTTAAAGAATTGCCGTTGAGTAGTTTTCCATTTAAAAAATAAAGTATGACAGGAAGTCTGCGACGTCGCAAACCGAGTTACGTGATTGCCGACTTTCACCGTCGATATGTTTTATCAAGGAAGATTTGGCAACTCTCGGGCCTCGTCTACTCGAGCGTGGTTCGCGGAACTTAATTCGCGAAACTTGTTCCCGGGACAATTTTTAGCTGAGCTAAAACTTATTCCTCCAAACCCCAGAACTTTCCCCGTACTGTGAGCTTCTATGTTTCTTTCCTTGTGAATTCGTTTGTTTTTGTTTTTTACGTCCTTTATGTCCTGACATTTGTTTTTGTTACTCTCCTGGCCGTAGTAATCTATTATTTTGCAATAATTGTACAGTTTTATGGAAGTTCCGGCTCCGGTTCAGGCGAAAGCATCCCTCGTTTTAAGAAATGAGTTTCCGAAGACTGAGCAGTTCGTCCAATAAGCTCATTGAACTGCGCTCGCGTGGACAGGGCCTGAAATGTTCATACGGCGTTCTTCCTCAGTACGGCAGTATATGACTCCGTGCTTTCTGGGATCAGCGTAGAAAAGCTGCATCCTTTCGTTACCAAAGCTACGCTGCCGTGTTTTTGTTAGCAAGAAGGGCGTGTGTCTGCATTGGAAATTGGAATCCCTATGCACATGTACCGTTCTTGCTAAAGCACGGTGTGAGGTGTTAGGAGCGTGCGCGGGGTGGGATTGACGCTGCAGGGTTGCGGATTACGAGGGCATCGATGTGTGAGCAAATAAAGTGATGGATGATGCAGCCAAGTTTCGCCACGTTCCTGTTGCGATTCTCCTCTCCAATTCATCATGCTCTCTTTGCACCCGTCCGCGGAACAGACTCGAAATCTCGTTGACAAATTCAACTGCAGGTATGAAAATTAATCGAGCGCTTTTAACAGCACCGCAGCACAGTGGGGCGAGCTCGGACACAAAATTTTTGGCTAAAATTTCAGAATTTTATGTTTATTTCGTCACAAATTCAATTTTAAGGGGTATTTTTGCTAGAAAATTTTACGATAAAACCAATGAAAACACTTTTAAACTTTTTTTGCTTCATAATTTTGAAAATATAAGCTTTCAAAATTCATAGATTTTGTCCGACTTCTCCTATTGACTGGGTCCAATGTGCGCAGTGCGTGTACTGTCGATGTTCTCTCTTCGGGAAAAACGCCGTATTATCATTCGAGAGTTGCCAAATTTCCCTTGATAAAACATGTATTGTGGACAACATCCATGTATATTTGTCTTTGAAATTTTCAGATATTTTAGATTGAATTGAGTACAAAGTTGTCTGAAAGTTTTGGAAAATAATAATCACAATTTTCCCAAGAAATTCGGTTTTAATCGGAGGGAACTTGGCAACGCTTGAAGGCTCATACGGCGTTCCTCCTTTGCACGGCAGTGTAGCACTGAGGAAGGAAGCCACATGAACATTCAAATGTCATGGAATCTCCTTGGATAGGAGTGTGGATATAGTGTGCTTTGCGATTTATCGATTGATCTGCCATTTAAACCTATGGAAAAGAATCTAACGTTCGTAAAGAGCATCTTAATAATCGATCCTTTACTATAGCTTCAAATGGGGAAATGTCAATAATCGATTGTTCACGCCACGCCACTGTCATGAAGCTTAAATTCTCACCCTGCATTACGAGGAATAAATTATAAACTTGACAACAGCCACTCTCGTTAATTTAAAATTCGTTTTCCGACGAGTGCGATACTCGTAACTTCAAATGAGGGATTAATTCAAAGAATGAGCATTTTGTTTCTCATGTCTTACGCTAATAAGAAAGTTAACCGTATGCAAGGATCAGTCAATGCAAAAACTGCTTACCAGGCGAATATTTAGCGGAAAATTTTCGAACAAAGATGAATAAAACAACGCTGTCACAGTGGGAGACTCAAAATTATTTTTCGTTCGACCAGTTTGATTTACGTTGAAAGGCTCATTGTTACTTCATGACGAGGGCGTTGAATGGAATCAATATAAATCAATGAATTTATTTATAGGCGGATTCTATGTACAAAGCTTTCCGGATGAGATGGACGCAATGTGAAGAAGAGAGAATGAGGGGAATGTGAGAAAAAAAATCAGCGAGAATAGGAACTCAACCAATGTTCCTATTTACGATGATTTGCTGTTTTTCTTTCTCTCTCTTCCTCTCTCTCAAATTTTTCGATTAGTGAATTATTCTTTTAAGCATCATCGCCTGATCGACGCGAATGAACCGGTAGACAGGGAACGACATTAAATGCCACATCGCTCCTCCATTTCAATTTCACGTCAAATACGGTAAGAACATCTACATTTCCGAATTTAACTCATGAGTGAGAAAAAAGAGTCGCTCAAGTTCATCGATTCAAAATGATAATTGACATTATCTCATGATAAATGACAATTGAGTAGCTGTCAAAAATTCAAAAATGAAGTGATTCCGTTCTCAAGAATCGAACATGATTATTGATCGCAAGTTTGTATTTCGCATGTAGATTAAAAATCCTATTTAGTAGAGGTTGCATAGCAATAAATAGACACTAAATTGACGATAAAAAGCTTATTTATTACTGGGTATCAATCTAGAAATTTTGCCACATGGGAAGTCTTAACAGTATTTTCAACAGCACAGCTTTGGGCAAGGTCCAACGGAGGATAGTATATTATCGAAATTTAGTAGTTTTAAATTTTCCCGGTTTGCAGTGTCCTTCCTCACCTGCTTAGATAAACCTGTACATCCAGGCTCTGACCACATTATCACGCAAGTGTCATACGGCTCAATTGCGGATGCTTTTTCTCGATTCGCTGGTGCCAAATCCTTGCAGGAGTCTCCTTCCAAATATTCCAGCTTGGATTTAAAATTAAACTTCCCAAAGATCTTCGCCTTAAAAGGTTCGCCACCATCCGCTCCCGGAAAGTCTGGCAAGAGTGAGTGATTAGAAAAGAAACTTTAGTTTCACGTTGATTACATCTTGCACAATGAAAGCATGAGCGCTGCCATGTTGTGAACATTTTCAATACTTTTTTTTCCACTTTTAAATGAGGGAACTAAAAACCCAACGAGCAGTGAAAATTAGTCTCTTTTTTACGAGTAACCACGAGCTGCACTGCCTTGCAAAAAAAATGAGACATGATTGATGCTCCGCAACCCGTGGCAAGGTTTACAATAGTAAAACAAATTACACAGCGGGTAATAAGACTAATTTTCACGTAAATATCACCAAAACGTTTCGGCTGAAATCTCAGCCTTCCTCTGTTGGATAAAACTGTAAAAATCTAAAAACGTAGTACTTGACTGTACCTTTCAAAGCTAGAACAGCGTTGTTATCTTAAGTACTACGTTTTTACAATTTTTTACTGTTTTATCCAACTGACGCCTCATCTCCACGCACGGGACGTTTCATGGGATTCGTCCCGGGGGAAAAATCTCACTTGCGAAGTTGGGAAAAATATTGAGTTAGTCAATACCAACCACAGTACCGACTAAAGCCGCTAACACACTTACACTCCGAATGTACACCCTGGCCTACTGCGCTTGCGCGGGCATCGAGAATGTACATTCATCACTCTCTTGGAAAAGAATGTACAGTATAACGAGAAGAAGAAAAAACCCGCGACGATCTTTTACTCATTCCTGTAACTTATAGTTGTTTAAGAGAACAAATGAGAAGCATTCTCGATGCCCGCGCATGCGCAGTAGGCCCGAATGTACATTCGGAGTGTACGTGTGTTAGCGGCTTATGAGTCCTTGTGGAGTCCCAGGAGTGACCTCAAAAGAAGAAGAAGAAATTCCGTCATGTTTTTCAACGGGGAAAAAAGCCCAGAAGTTTCATTCCTGCGATTCGAACTTGGTAAAAATCCCGTGAAACGTCCCGTGGTGACAAGGCGTAAGAAAGGCTGAGTTTTCAGCCGAAACGTTTTGGTGATATTTACGTTAAAATTAGGCTTGTTCCTAGGTGTGTGATTTGTTTTATTATTGCATGCTAAACAAATATGCTGAATGAACATCCGAATGTTGCCAAATTTATTCTTGGAAAAAACTTAATTCATTAATAGCTAGTTCAATAAAATCCCATCTTTCTCAAAATCGATCACGCACAGGGGTGAAGACACCACCCGATCGCGTGGTCGCTCGCGTGAAAGAATGGGAGGGCTGTGAAAATTGTGAAGATCGGCTCGCAACAAAGATAAATTTAAGTGTTTCTCCAATAATCGCAAAGAAATTTGCGTGTTTTTCGGGAAATTCTTGCAATTTGTGAAAAAAAATGAAAATTGGTCACAGCTATTGGGAAACAAGGGGTTTTTAAAATGAGAGGATGAGTTTCAAATAATGGAGAGGCTGAAAACTTTCTGCGCCCCTGACTCCGCACGAATGTAAAATATGAAGTTGTATCGTACTGTTATTTAGGCTAATACCGCATAGTTCATATACCTCTCGACGTAGATTTTGGTTTTTACACAGGGAAGAAAGTCGATGAAACAAATAGCTATTTTGATCATCAATATTTGTTGGGGACTCCCGGCAATTATACTCGTATAAGTAAAATTACAAAAACCCTCAAAAACATTTTCGGGCAAAAAATCCGGTCGAGGAAATTGACGTGTTACATCTTATTAACCAAAAACATTCCCTTTCGCCCCTCCAAGAAGGTTGATAAAACTAAGTAAGTAACTATGAGATGGCAAAAAGCTCTCTTAAATTCTCAGGGTCCATCAAGGCCACATATGTCCAAAAACTTACTCTATACTTATGGTTTAAAAAAAAGAAACAAAAAATAATCCCTTAACAATAAGAAAATTTAAAAAAAAAAAAAAAACAAAAACCGATTATGTGGTTCACAGATATGTACATAAATCCTTCGAATGAACTTGAAATCACAAAATCGGTCGAGAAAATTTAAATGAATTTTCTCCTTCAATTATGAGTTCCGCAACAAGCACGACTCGCTTGAAGCTTTCCATACACGAGCCGCAAGAAACTAATTTCTTCTTTCTTACCTACTGA